GTTTTTCCCCCGGTTCAGTCTGTTGCAAGCACGATTGAGTTCATGCATTTACATAAATTTATATAAAACTTAAATGCATTTATATAAATATAAATAGTGATGGGAGATCTGACTCATTTCAGTGACTCAGTTTGAGAACAGTTTGTTTCAAAGGAGTGTTTAAAAAATTATTCAATTGTTCATTTGTGTCATGCATAATTGACAGTCCCCCCCCCCCATATTATATTATAAATGATCTGAAACATTTTTTAGAAATTGTATGTAGCACATACTGTAATGATGTTTAAATTTTTTCCCAGTTTGGTCTGTTGTACATTCAGCACATAAAAAACATAAATGCATTTATATAAATGTAAATATACTTTAAATCTCAAAGACGTTTAATTCATTACATTTTAACATTTTGGCCAAACAAGTAACCTTCCCCATCAAATGCTCTTGGTATCAGTTCTCTCATTCGTTCTCATTGGCTTATTAGGAACATGTTGGAAAGAGACCGTTCTCAGTTAAGTGAATCAGTGAGTTGTTGACTCGGACCGATTCAGTCCAATTCGTGAATGAATCGTTCAGGCCGGTTTTGTGAATCCATTGAACAGTGCTGACTTGAACGTGTCTGGAGAGGCTGTGTAAAAAGCCAACAATTTTAAAGAATCTTCGAACCCTTTACATTGACACAAACTCACACGCACTAATAATTAATCGCATTTTTGAATCATAGAGCGTTTCTGCTCTTCAGACGTAAGATGCGTGGGGGAGGGAAGCGCGCGAGGTCCATTTTTACGCCCTCGTGCCTCGCTTGTCATAAACCCTTGAATGATATACATAGCAAAATAAAATAAAGAGAAATTCGACCGTAAAACATTCGAAAACGACAAAAGGCACTTAGATACTTTCGAGGGAGGCAACCTGCGGTTTCATTTGCCATTGTGCAGATGCTGCTAAAACGGGGCCATCGTTTTATGGCCTCTCCTCCTCCGTTACTGTGGAAACCATCATCATGCTGCTCCCGCGAATGCCAATTATCACATCCCCCGAAAAACCGGTTTACATAACCACCATCTTCCCAACGCATAGTTTGCACACCTAGACAGCCAGAACCAAAATGTGCCACAGTTGAGACTCACTAGAAGCAAAGTGCTTGAATGATAAACCGATTGTTTGCCAACATCCAGCCCCCGGTCCTTTCGAAGGTTGCGTAAACAGATAGCACACCAGCGTTAATAATAGAACATATGTAAGCAGGCGAATAGGAATAACACACAGAACGTGCCATAAAGCTCCTGTAATATTTAACGCGGCATGACTGGAGGATGAATGAATAATGGGGAGGGAAACTAGCAGCCCTATGATCACACTTGTGCATGGGGGGGCTAATTCATAACAGCATCCAGATTATAATATATAAGAAATAAATTAGTTCAAGTGGGGAAAAACTCCATATTGACTTACAGCAATTTGTTATGGCGAAGCTGTTAGCCACCTCCAGGTTATCAATGTGAGGAGTGAGGCGGAACTCGCCCGTGCCGAACTGAACCATTCCGATCCGAAACGCGCTGTACTCTTGATCTGCTCCTCTGGGGAACAGGCCACCTGAGAAAATAATACATTAAAACACGATTCAAAATTAAATCATGTGAAGAATCTCGTCTCATATTCCAAATTTAGACATAATATATCGCTTTATCGCGAAAATCTCACACGGCACATAAGAAAAAAAAGACGTTTGGTATGTAATTTCTGCTATCAGACGTTTCAAGTCGAGATTTGATGCCTGTGATCTAAAGGCGTAGACAGGTGAAGTGCGCTCACCGATTTGGACGCTTGGAGATCCGCCGAGCGCCAGTCCCCATAACGCGAGGAAGAGGAGACCCGACAAAATCATCGTCTTCTGCTTATCCACGCGCCCGCATCCACCAAACGCGCACTGTTCACAAAACAGCGGACACAATATAGAGTCGACACATGTTAAAATTGTTACACAGTTAAAACGCAGAGGCTCTCGTTAGACAGCGGTGCTGGTGAGCGAAAGAGCGGGCGCGATGATGCGGGAGTCTTGCCCTCCTCCTTTGCGGCTCCGTCCCTGAGAATCGTTTCAACTCCGCGGACACGGTAAGAATACTGATGAAGACGAAAAAAGCCGAGCGGAGCCGAAGCTGCTCCTGTTTTGAGCGCGCGCTCGCGCTGGGACTTTGGCTCAGCTGCTGTGGGTAATAGGATTGCGATTCGTCGATCTTATTCATTAGTGTAATATATGTCGCGTGATTTCTTATGGTTATGAATTTATTGAATTAGAAAAGGCCTAATGTGTGTCCACTAGAGTCAGAGTGGTGACAGATGTTTCCCTGTAATCCAATACACTCTAAAAAAAATGGTGCTATATAAAATAGGTGCTAAATAGCACTAAAAGTGGTTCCCCTATGATTACAAGCCAAAGAACCACTTTTAGTGCTATTTGGGCAAAAAAAAAATTATATCTTCAAGAAATAGACTGTTTTTTAATGTTGTTTTAACCCTTTCCCTAACTAAACTAAGAGGCTAAGAGAGAGATAAAGAACCTTTAAAGAACTATACAGGGGCTTACAGGTTTTACGGTAGTGGTGCTATATAGCACCTTAACCACTCCAAAGAACCGCTGAAGAACCTTTTTTTTTTTTAGAGTGTAGGTTTGGGCTCCCCATTTTCGGAAATACATGTAATGAACAGCTTAACTAGCCCGGGCTAATCAATAACTGACATACACGTATTACACATATTACTATCTAGAATAGACTCCTTTTTTCAGACCAAAGACCTTTTGGTGGGTAAAGAACCAACAAATGGACCCCTGTATAAAATTGAGTGTTGCATCTTAAAGGAAGAGTTCACCCAAAAATGAAAACGTGCACTTTTCACTTTTTCCACAAAAAAAATTCTCCTAATCTGTTCCAGTGAAGAAAAAATCAATCTACATGTTGGATGGACCGAGGATGTGTACATTTTCAGCACATTTTAATTTCTGGGTGAAATAATCATTTAAGTCTAACATTTTGTATAAAATAATCATTTATCTGACTGATTAACATATTTATTTACATTATAATTGGGCTTAATACATTTTACTGTAGAAGAGAAAATAAAACATTTAGCTGAATTTCTTCACTGTATTGGTTGATGTTAACTTAATATTTTTGTTTGTTTGTTTAGCACATATTTCAATTTTTCCACAAAATGTGTATGAGATTAAACATCTTGGTTCTAGAGAAATGGGCCAGTACAAAAAATCTGACCCTGGATCTCCTTGTGCTTGTGAGCTTTTATGTAAAGTAGCCTACGGTATGCACGTTACCTACTTTTCAAACAACAAAAGTAGAACTGAAAATAAAGTGTAGTTCTAATAAACAACATTGCAATTTAGGTCACAATGATAAGGCATTTATCATATCAAACAAATGTGCAGACATTTTAAACCAAGAATATGGCACAGTATCGGTATACAGCCAATTATAAGTAAACCACTGACTTCAACGAACCATAAAACAAAACAAGTTTAGGTATAGATATTGAAGAAGACTCTAGCTTCCGGTTGCTGTTGTTGTTTTTTATAAGCAATTGTCCCATACTGCCCTATCTGGCATTTCCAAATCTGCACGCAGCGAAGTGATTCCCAGCATGAGCAGCAGAGAGCAGTGAAGTGCTGTCTGTGGAAGCCTGACCCTACAAACGCTGGATCCATAATGCAAACGGTTAATATCTATCTATCTATCTATCTATCTATGTATCGTCTGTCTGTCTGTCTGTCTATCTATCTATCTATCGTCTGTCTGTCTGTCTGTCTGTCTGTCTATCTATCTGCTGTCTATCTATCTATCTCCCTGTCCGTCTATCTATCTATCTATCTATCTATCTATCTTCCGTCTGTCTGTCTGTCTGTCTATCTATCTATCTATCTATCTATCTATCTATCGTCTGTCTGTCTGTCTATCTATCTATCTGTCCATCTATCTATCTGTCTATCGATCTATCTGCTGTATGCTATAGTCTGCAGTGTACATGACCTACCATTAAATGTTGAATGTATAATATGCATATTTTGTATAAGTTCGATTTTGTATAAGTAAGAAAATTTAGCCAGTTGATTGATCAACCTTGATACTCAATTTGCCCACGTTTCCAACATTTGTATGTATATATAGAACTTACATAGAATGTTACAGATGTGTTAATTTTGCTACAAAGGAAAATATGTCTATATCTGACTAGGTCTGGATGTGATATTTTACAAGGTTCAGATTATATAAATCAAAGAGCTCAACGTCCATATTTAACACAACCAAAAGCGTAGTACAATGCACAGGCATGAATTAGTAGGTCAAAATTAACATACTAAAATAAAACATCAGAAAATAATTTGTTTTGTTATATAGTTTACCTTATACTTTAAATAATAGCTGTATAATCTTGGCAAATAACGGTGAAATTAATGTTTCCATTGATTAAACCCAGTCCTACAAACACAAAAGTATTTATTCCTTAAGTATTCAACTAGATTTGTATTTTCGAGGAAGGTGCTTGCAAAACAGCAATACTGTAAAATAGTAGGTATTCTCCTTTTCTTTCTGCATAAAATGAATGCTGTGACAGAGCCGTTGTCATGACACTGAACATGTGTTTTGTTTCCAGGCGGCTGCACACAAGAATCATCACAAGTGCAGCGTAAAAGCAGTTAAATATGGCTAAATGTATGCAAGAAAGACAAGATGAATTAATTACTCAAATAGATTTTGAAAAGACAACCAGTTGTAAATCAGTATGGAAATATTACAATGATGATTGCATTTGGTTACAATTTGGTTACTGGGCGTTGTATCAAAGCACGGCAAAGGGAGATTTTGACTAAAATAATCTTCAAAAAAATTTGGAAGGTCTATATGTTATGTTTGTATGAGTTTGTATGTTAAGCTGTGTCAACAGTGCAAACATCTGCTCATCCAAAATAACAGAAAAAATAGAATGTAGATGATGAATGATCTTTATTGTATGGCTCGATAACAGCAGTTAAATCCCTTCTTATTACAGACTCATATGCAATAACCTATTATAAATACTGCATGCTGTCTGGGTCCAGATCTGATACAGTCTTTCTTTCCATAAGCAAAATTTTGCCTGAGTTTATAAACAATTGACAATTATGGATGTTTTTGCATGGGACATCATGGACATCTAGCACTTTGGACCAAACATGGCTGAACACACTGTAAAGTCATGCTGCAAAGTTTGCTCGTATTAAAGCTACACATTTCAAAAAGCGAATTACGAGGAAAAATACAAATCAGCAGGACTATATAACTGACATACCAATATAACAGACATCAAAGATTAAAAACGATGAACATTTCAATGTTTTGTTCATGCTTGATTATCACCCTCATCAACATAAAAGCACACACACACACACACATATTCACACAAGTACACTTTGTGATGGTCACAGGTAGACAGACCAGTAAATAACATTGAAGAAGAGGAAGGTGAAAGGGAACAGAGCTCGCGCATAGAGATCAACCCGTTTAGCAGCAGACGGAATGACAGGTTTCGGAGGCGGCGGCTTCTTGTTGCTCTTGTTCTGTGATTTGCCGGCGGCGTCTGTGACCTCTATGGGCTTGCCGTAACAGTCGAAGTTTGAGAGTTCGAAATCTCGAGGAAGAGAACCGACAATACTGAAATCATTTGAGCGCAGATCAGATTTCGAAGTACACACCTTCTTACAGCGGTTTTCCACAACCTACACAAACACAAAAGACATTTGAATACATACAAGAAAATCTATCTATCTATCTATCTATCTATCTATCCGTCCGCCCATCCAACCATATCTCTTATCCATCCATCCATCCATCTCCTTGCTTCTGTCCATCCATCCATCCATCCATCCATCCATCCATCCATCCATCCATCCATCCATCCAACCAACCAACCAACCAACCATCTATCTACCCTACATATCTCTCTCTCCATCCATCCATCCATCTATTTATCTGTCATCCATCCATCCATCTATCCATCTGTACATCCATGAATCCATCCATCTCCTTGCTTCCATCCGTCCGTCCATCGATCCATCCATCCTACATATCTCACCATCCATCCATCTGTCCGTCTATGAATCCATCCATCTCCTTGCTTCCGTCCGTCCGTCCATCCATCCATCCATCCTACATATCTCTCTCCATCATCCATCCATCTATCTGTCATCTGTCCATCCATCCTACATATCTCTCTCCATCATCCATCCATCTATCTGTCATCCGTCCATCCATCCTACATATCTCACCATCCACCCATCCATCCATCCATCCATCCATCTATGTCATCCGTCCATCCATCCTACATATCTCACCATCCATCCATCCATCTATCTGTCCGTCTATGAATCCATCCATCTCCTTGCTTCTGTCCGTCCATCCATCCGTCTGTCCATCTATCTATCTATCTATCTCTTTCGTCCATCCATCCATCTATCTATTATTAATTTAACAAAGTACAGAATAAGTCAAAACCTTGACAAGAACTGTCCGTTAGGTGCTAAATGATAAACGTGTTATTGGAGCCCAATATTTTATTCTGAAGATGACCAGTTTCTCAACTTCAATCTTCAGAGAAGCCATTTCGGTCATCCTCACAAGACATTTCTCTTAAATATTGTTTGTAATATGACCTCTCCCCCTCACACATACACACTCGCTTGTGAACCCCTGTGCTGCTCTATCATAGCTTCAGGCCTCGTTACTGTCGGGTCACATTACTCTCAGTCCCCCAGAATCCTCTGCTCTTCTCTGAACCCATGTCCCACTGAGCGCACACTCAGAGCAGGAGACTCAATTACAGCCATCTCATCTCCCCATGTACCCATTAACACACACACACACACACACATTCATCTTAGATAAAGAGAAGACATACACACATTCTACACAGAGAGAACACAGTCGCACACATACATGTGAACACACACATTTTCTGCTTACTAAAGAGAGCACAAACATATGAATGCACACATTCGTCTTACTTAACATGCATACACACACTGACCTGTAGTGTGCTGACATGTATGGGTGTCCCACCAGTCCCATTGGCACTGTTAGTTTTAGCTGGTGTCTTGTTCTCTTTTTCTCTTGCTTTATCTTTCAGTGTCATCTTTGCTTTCTCTTCCTCAATGCGCTTGGGACTGTTCAGCATCACCTGGGACACAGCATACAGACAGAGCAAATTCATGCAATGCAAACGCTCCCTAATGACCTCCAAAAGCAACGAACATCATGAGAAAATACTGAACAACAATGTGAAGATTAAAATGTTACATGATTTCATTAATCTACTGAAATTATGCCATACTTTGAAGCAAGGCCCATTATGCAGGCTTAATGTTTTAAACTAAATAAGGATCACCGCTTGGTTTGACATTTTGTTATCAAAAGCAATGAAATTCATACACTTCATCCAAGTTTAGCTTAAGTGTCCAATTAACAAATACTGTACATCCAAATAAAATGTCTAATTTAATATAATTTTAGGCCCATTGTATATACAGTAGCAATCTTCTAGACTTTTCTTTCCATTATATTGATTGCTCATGTAGAATCAAACATCTCTCTACCGGCACAAGTCACATTGCACACAAATAGAAATAAATTGGCCATATTTAAAAAGAAATATTACTGCTTTGTTGATTTTTCCCTGAGAGAATTCAAATATATATATAAAAAAAATATTGATTCACACACAAAATCAGTGTCAAAATTAGTTCAGGGCACTTTTTATATTTCTGCATTATCAGCACAAAATTAAGAATTTTAATTATTATTCAGCTCTGTGCTCCCGGAGCTGTTATCCCAGTTTTCCAGGAAAAATGGACAATGTAACCACAGGACCTGTATATCTGTTTCATAGTTCAGGAGGAGTTCATTGTTCCTTACTAAGGCATTTTTCTTGCGGTTGCTGTCCTGTTTTCAGTTTTCAGGCTTTGATTACAGATTTTCTCCTCTCGAAAAAAGTGCATTTCCGTGTCAGCCTTTTTCACTTCCTATTTAAGGAACAGCTATATAAGAAATGTTGGGTACTGGAGAAAGTCAAAGCCAAACACACCGGGTTAGAAATCCTGCTAATATGGCCCAAAACATATGGATATAAGACTGGAGTGAGAACACATCAGTATACTGCTACATAGCAGTTGCAAATTGTTTGATAATCATTAAAAGCCTACAGTTTCAAGAACTATATTAAGATCTTTTTATTCAGATTATTATTATTATAGAGGCAATACTTGACAATAAGGTTTCATTTGTTAACTATATTTAATGTGTTAACCAACATTAACTAACAACGAGCAATACATTTGTTACAGTATTTATTAGTCTTTATTAACATTAGCTAATAAAAAAATACAACTGTTCATTGTTAGACCAATAACATTAATAGATACAACTTTTGATTTAATTAATGTATTGGATTGGATTCAACATGAACTAAGATAAATAAATGCTTTAGACGTATTTTTCATTGTTAGTTCATGTTAAGGTAACACTTTATTTTAAGGTGTCCTTGTCACACGTTACATGTACTTACTATTATAATAACAATTAATTATGCATAATTACATGCAAGTAACCCTAAGCCAAACCCTAACCATGTAGTAAGTACATGTAGTTAATTAATATTACTCAGTACTTATAAGCAGGGTTGGGGGTAACTCATTACAAGTAATGCGAGTTACGTAATCAGATTACTTTTTTCAAGTAACTAGTAAAGTAACGCATTACTTTTTTAATTTACAAGAAAATATCTGAGTTACTTTTTCAAACAAGTAATGCCAGTTACTTTGTTTTTCCATTTATTCACAGACTTGCTGAAGAGTGTTTCTTCTCCTGCGTTCTACTGTACAGACGTGAATTTACTTTTCCTTCAGCCTGAGGTTTATTCATTACACTTTTTGGTGTGAAAGGGCTTTTATATTTGCTATAAATAGAACTTCTTATATTAAAAACAATCAAGCCCTGCTTAAATTTAAAAAGTAACGCAAAAGTAATATAACGCATTACTTTCCATAAAAAGTAACTAAGTAACGTAATTAGTTACGTTTTTAGCAATATTGTAATGCATTACTTTTAAAAGTAACTTTCCCCAACACTGCTTATAAGTATAATTTAAAATAAAGGGTAACCAATGTTAACTAATGCAGTTAACTAATATTAATAAATGGAACTTTATTGTAAAGTGTTACCATTATAAATGAAATGTATTTATTAAACATTGGCAGCCTTTATCATTATCACTGCTTGTTTTATAAAAACAAAAAGCCACGAGAGGTTGTTCCTTGCATTGTGTCAGGCCCAAGAAAACTTTACCTGTGGTAAAATGTACTGTAATGTACTGTACTATACTGTAATGTATGACCTCCAGTGGTTTAGTGCTTTTAGCAAAATAATTTTGTATTAGCAGCAATAGATAGACTGGAAATGTCCCCAATGTGCAATTTTTAATAAACCCAACATGTCTTTTTATTTATTTATTTATTTTGTTATACGAATGTGACGCATTTAGAAAACTGTAAATATCACTTTGCCGTTATATTGCACATAAGATTTAAAAAAAAAAAATTTTTAAGCTATAAGTTTGTAAAATTATGCAAAAAGTATTAAAGCAGCATTTAATTATATGTGTTTTTTGGATATAAGGCAACCTCTGAATTATACCTTAACAAGGCAAAGGAAACCCATTTTACTCCAAAATTCTTTGTCATTTCACTACCGAATGTTATTTAAAAAACAGAATTTTAAATGTAAAACAACTTTTCACTGTGGAAAAAATAAACTGAGTGTGAAATGTGTATTTTAAGCAAATTTATTTTCTAAAAGTTCACAGGGCTCAAAGTGTGAAACACCCACACGGTGTCCTGAAGCGGCTAAATCTGTAGTTCTGCAACGTCCCGAGTCAAGGAAATGTTTCAATATAAGACAACAGCAGACGTGTGCATACACACCTGAACCACAGCGTACTCCACAAGAGAGGCAAAACCAAACAGCAAACAGGCAATCATCCAGATATCAATGGCTTTCACATAGGAGACCTTAGGAAGCTCAGACGCTAGAGACATACACTCAGACGACAGCGACAGGACAGACAGAATTCCTAAAGAGAGAGACAGACATGAGAGAAAGAAGGAAAAATTCCTCATGTGGTTGCATACTGTAATTACATAAATCACTACTGTGCCCCGCTCTTGAGCAGATATCTTGAGTTTCTTCTCACCTTACCACAAGTTATGAAATTAATTATGATGCTTTAATGTTCAAACTGACCTGGGAGTGACAGCCATCCCTGAAATGGACAGATGGACAAATGAGAGAAAGGAATGAAGGAGAGGTGGAGCCTATGAAAGGAGGAATATGGAGAGATGAGAGAGGAAAAACGGGTCGGATTACAGGCAATCATGAGAATGACTGACGGATGAAGTTCTCAGTGTAAGTGGAAAGATTCTTTAACATTTTTACCCCTTTGTGTGTCCAAAAGTTTCATATAAATTTCAGATATAAATGTTTAGAAATAAATTGAATTTTAAATACTTAGATGATTGAAAGTTTTAGCAAAACCAGGACAGATTTTCATTTCAGTACATTATATCAGAGTCATTTTTATTTAAAATTATATATCATAATATATATTTTATAAAGGTGTTTCTTCTTTTGGGCAGGATTATGGATAGATTAGAGAGATGAGAAGAGAGGAGTTCAGGACTGGGTGACTTGCTGTCATTTTTTTATTTTTATGTTGCCCCACTAGAGTTAGTTTATTCTGTAAACCAGAGTTGGCTAAAGGATTGAAATCTTAGGTTTTTTTTTTAATTAATATTATTTAATTTGCATTTTTTTTTTAATGTTATTTTATTCTGAAAAAATATTTTATTGGCAATTATAAATTATCAGTTATTTATTCAAAATTAAAAAAGAATTAAATATGAAATAATAAATATATTCTGCAAGGATGTGTTAAATTAATAAAAAGTAACAGTAAAGTATAAATCGTTACAAAAAAAATCCGTTTCAAATAAATGTTCTTTCAAACTATTTATTCATCAAAGAATCCTTAAAAAACATGCATCATGTTTTCCACAAAAATATAAAGCAGCACAACTATTTTCAACAACTATTGATAATAATCAGAAATGTTTCTCTGAACAGCACATCGTCATATTAAAATTCTGAATGATTTCTGAAGGATCATGTGACACTGAAGACTGGAGTAATGATGCTGAAAATTCAGCTTTGATCACAGAAATAAATGACATTTTAAAATATATTCACATAGAAAACAGATATTTTAAAGTGTAATACGATTTCACAATATTACAGTTTTGCTGTATTTTTGATCAAATAAATGCAGCTTTGGTGATCACAAGAAACTTTTTTTTTCAAAAATATAAAAAAAAAAAACATACAAACCCCAAAGATTGAAAGTGCCCCTATTATGCCATTTCCAATATTGCCTTTGATGCAGTGCAGCTGTATGTGAATGTAAACGTTGTAAAGCCGAAAGTGCACGATAAATAAAGTTATTGTCTCCCAAAAGAAAGAATCGACTCTGAACAGCCTAATGCCCGCCTATGTTCTACATTGGCTGGCCGTGAACAACTTGACCCGCCCAAAAACACTGTATGCATATTTTGAGAAAACGAAAGAGTTTTTTGAGCTTGCATGCATGAAACCTTTTGTAGGAGACTCCCAAAACAATATTAAGAACCTTAAGAATGGCATAATAGGGGCGCTTTAAACAGTAGAGTATTAGAAATATTATTTGTTAATTATTAGAAATGTGTATTACCAAAGCCTACAGAGTTGATCACCCTGGTCACATAAAATCCCATGGCTTATTAATCATTAAATGCAATATAAGAAAGACTGAGCTGTCGCAGCTCTGATAAGGGTCATCAAACACAACACTGCAATTCCAATAACAACATGTATGTGGTGTTCATTTGAAGGCTGACTCACCTAAGGGGACTCGAGCGGCACTGGCGTCTGGGTTGATCCAGAAGGACAGCCATGATAGGACGACAATGAGCAGGGTGGGAGCATAAACACCCATCATATAAAAGCCCACCTGCCTCCTGAGAGTGAAGATGACTTCTACACATGTATAATAACCTATAGATTTTAAGAGGGAAAACAAGAGAGGATGCATTAAAAATGTAATGAGAGTCTTGAAAGTGTTGTACCATATCTCCATCATTTACGTTTCTACAAAATGCTTTTTATGTACTGTATAGGTTTTATTGTTTTAGCCTTGTCCCAGATCCAGATTTTAAATCTTAATGAATTCTCATAAAAATGTTACGCCATGAATAATCTAAACAAAGAGTGAAATAAACAAACCATTCAAACATTTATTGTGTAAAGTATTTCATAATTTTACACAAATTAAATCAATAGAGCACAGTATAATTTCCACAACAATTTATAATTTTTTTTATAATAACTGCACTTGGTTACCAAGGAGACAGAAGTGTCAATGGGGAGCATGAGATGAAATATGAGATGATAGTGATGTGTGAAGAAAATTCAAGATACTGTAAATGTCAGAATATTATTATTGCACGTCATTTCCAATTAAAATGTCATTTTGTCAAAACATTCCAAAAGTTCAGTTCTGTGTCTTCGGGATACATAAAATGCTGGCTATGAAATTAGCCTTAGTAAGACAAAGGAGTCTGCCATATTATTCCAAAAATGTTTCCATCACTGTCATTTTCACCACAGAACGTTATCGAGCAAAATGCATAATTTTGTGTGAGTGCGGTGAAAATAACGTTTGTTAGCTTAGACAAAATGACAAAAATAAAACAGTGAGTTTGAAAAATGATTTTCCACAAGTCCACAGGGCCAAACGTTAAAGTTAAAGAAGCAGTTCAGTGTGTCTGTATGTGTGTGTGTGTGTGTGTGTGTGTGCATTTGCAGATTCCCTTAGAGCTCATCTGTCTCCTGGAGTCATTGTGAAATCCCTGTTGAACACTGAACATCTGTCAAAAAAAACTTAAATAAACTACAACAAAACAAAACAGTGAAAAAATATCACACACAATTAATCAGAGGAGCACAATCTCTATTTTGCCAAATTAAGTGGAGCAGAAATTAATCCATTAATGTCTATATTTAGATGTCTTACACATAATGCATATAGCCATACATAACACGCAGCTTTTGTCTTCACAAGTCATTAACTGATGGACTGGAGTGCTGTGGATTACTTGTGGATTATTGTGATGTTTTTATCAGCTGTTTGGACTCTCATTCTGACGGCACCCATCCACTGCAGAGGATCCATTGGTGAGCAAAGTGATGTAATGCTACATTTCTCCAAATCTGTTCTGATGAAGAAACAAACTCATCTACATCATGGATGGCCTGAGAGTGAGCACATTTTCAGCAAATTTTAATTTTTGCGTGAACTATTTCTTTAAATGGATTATGCTTACAACAGGGCCAGGATGCAGATCAACAAAGTTGTGGGATAATTTATGACTGTCCAAGCTGATTTATTAGCATTACTAAAAACATTTATTACCTATATGTAATAGATAACACAGACGCACACCGGCAAACATCTCTAGAGTGTTCATCTTAAAGCAGTATCATCACTCACAGAAATGAAGAACAGAACAGTGCATTTAGAAACACATCATGTGTGGATACCATCGTCAGAATACAAAATAAACCTTAGATTTTTCTCAAGAAACACACCATGCTTTGAGCTCTGTGTGACCGTTTTACCGTAAAATAGATCATTAAGAGCAGGCTGTAGATGTTCTTTTTATTGTCTTGTTTATGGTGTGACTGTGTTTGATCATTTATGTGAAGACTGTCTGCGTGTGTGTGTGTGTGTGTGTGTAATCTTAGCAAGTTACGCTCATGCTGTTCTGTTCTCTTACATAAGAAGCGAATACTGTATTATGTAATAGATTCCCACAGGAGAAATACACTCCAATACTTCTAAAACTATACTTTATGTTAAAGGTTCAAATGTGAGTATGTGTGTTAATGAAGGAGCAAAGTAAGTAATGGATAATGCACAGTCAGCGGGTTATTATTCCAAAACAATATTTTTTTAATACCCTGAAGGGACTTATTTTGCAATAATGACCCACTGACTATGCACTATCCCTCTTTTTACATGGCTACTTAAATAAATAATTAAATGAATATGAAATTTTGATTTGAAATTATCATGTGAGAACAAAGAGATGCCAATGGGTGCCGTCAGAATGAGAGTCCAAACAGCTGATAAAAACATAACAATAATTCACAAGTAATCCACACCACTCCAGTCCATCAAATAACATGAAAAGGAAAGATGTGTATTTGTAAGAAATAAATCCATAATTAGTGTTTTAACTTTTTCAGTTTCTGGCCAAAATATGAGTCAATAATCCATAATAACGCTTCCTCCAGTGAAAAAGTCCATCCCCTGCTGTCCTCTCAAATCAAAATCCACCAACATATTTGTTTAGAATTGTTTTGGACCGTTTCCACTTGTTAAATGTGCTTGATCTGCACATATTTCTCTCCTGATTAATGTGATTTTTTTTCACTCGAAAAACAAAATTATGGATAAAGGAAGCAATGGTTTAAAGATAAAATGTTTTGTTTTTTTACAAACACGCAGCTTTTCACTTCTCAAGATGTTAATTGATGGACTGGAGTGGTGTGGATTACTTTTTAGACTTGTCTAAAAAATGCTTTAGAAGCAGTTTTTAATTGCCAATTCATGTTAAGTAATGTAATTAATGTCAACTAATGAAACCTTATTGTAATGTGTTACAAATGTTAAATATTTGATGTGAAATTCTGAATATCAAATGCATTCACACATAGCAGAAATAGTATGGGTGGAATGATAGTATGCTATTCCAATCATAGCCAGGTTGTGAGAACAAGAAGGGAAGTGCAAGGGAATATACAGTTCCCACATACAGTACAAAGAAATGGATCAGATGTTCAGAGCTTGATGAGAGAACAGAAGGTGCTCAGACATGGCACTTCATAACCGCAGCATTCATTAAAAAAAGATGCATGATCATTCCAAGAGTTTAATGCTACAGTAAGACTCTTGCTCTGATGCTGAGATCGTTCTGCCAAGCTACCCATCTCAGAGGTATTGATTCATTTGAGTCTGAATTAGGAGTGAAAAAGAGGTATGAGGTCTGTGTTTTCTCACTTGCATGTGTGTGTGAGCTATTCTTGAGCTGTTGCCTTCCCGAACACTATGTCCTCTTTCTGTGTCACCCTCTTTTAATATGTATGCAAATATGAGTGTGTATTTATATGTCAATCCATACCTGTTCCCGGGTAAAACTTTGTGCAATTTCCATACTCGATGTCCTCTTGCTTTACATCAAACTGTGGCAAAGCAATCTCATCCATCTGAACAGGGTCTCCAGACTGCCACATAAACACCAGGTCCTTTGTGGTATAACCAACTACACACACACACACACACACACACACACAACATTGACATGAACATTTTACCTCATCCTTTCCATTTTTTCTATCTCTTAAAATACAAATAAAATATAGTAGTTTCATTTTATTGCAGGAGTACCAGTTTGTGTGTGTGTGTGTGTGTGTGTGTGTGAGTGTATGTTTTCACTTACAGCTCTCTAACTGCATCTTGCAGAGCTGGGTGTCCATAGGAAACAGCGTTAGATCCAGAGGGCAAGAAAGAGTGACAGACAATCTGAAAAAAAGAGAATTTACGTAAGTAGCCGGTTTATTAGAGTTTAGACCAGACGGATGTGAGCAAGAGAGAGTATGTGAAGAGAGGATACACACACACACACACACACACACTGCAAGGCTCATTAGTCCTGGGTGCATGTGGAGCAGCAGTAGCAGATGAGAAAGAGAGAGAGAGAGAGAGAGAGAGAGAGAGAGAGCGTAAAGGAAGCTTTGGGGTGAGAATCTCACTCTAAGGCTCTCTCTCTCACACACATACATGGCTAAGCAAAGATGTAGCATATTCTCTCATCTGCCACAAAGACCCTTTCAGCTTGAGCAAACAGCCATGGCTTCAAACATTCTGCTATCTAAATATGCTGCGGTTAAAGATCAGAGCAGAATAAATAGAAAGAAAAACAACAAGATTAATATATAGCGAAAAAGAGTCAAATGATAAATGTGAATGCGAGAAGAATCATTCCAACAGATCTTTCAGCAAAGCAAATGTAACTCGAACACATTGCCAGAGGTGTAATAAGCATTTTATATCTGTGAAATAAATCAACTCCTAGGGTAGATTTGAAACGGAGGGAAATAAAACTGATAAACTCAAAATTTTGCATTTGACATACGCTTTTATGTTTTTTTTATATAAGTAGTATAAACAGTTTTTCTTCATATTTATCACTTTATACATACTGTTTAGGCTTAATTCTAATCTGCTGCAAACCATATGGTGAATGATGCATTAATCACTGATATTCTTTGATATAAAACTCTAAACTTTCTGAAACAACATAAAGAGATTATATTATTAGACTTGAATGTGATACTATATGATTAAAAAGTTCTAAGAATGGTGACTGCTTTAAGACTGCATGGGAAGCCTGGCTCACTTAAAAAATTTTATTAAAAAATGCAGCAATGTCATTCATCTACACTACCATCCAACATTTTGAGGTTGCTTTCATAAGTCTCTTGTACTTACCAAGGATTAATGTATTTATTTGATTAAAAATACAGTAAAAACAGTAATACTGTGAAATACTACTACAATTTAACATGTTTTCTATTTGAAATTTGAATTTTCAGCAGCCAGTCTCTTGTGTCACATGATCCTTCAGAAATCATTCGAATATGTTTATTTGATGCTAAAGAAACATTTCTTATTATTTTTATTGTTGAAAACATTTTAAAAACTGCCTCATATTATGGAAACTGTGATACTTTTAACAGGCTTCTTTGATGAATAAAAAGTGTGACAGATTTTTTTAATTTTTTTGTCAAATGTAAAAGTCTTTACTGACTCTTTTGATCAATTTAATGCATTCATGCTGAATAAAAATATGACTTTCTTAAAGGGGTCATATGATGCGATCTCAATTTTTCCTTTCTCTTTGGAGTGTTACAAGCTCTTGGTGCATAAAGAAGATCTGTAAAGTTGCAAAGACTAAAGTCTCAAATCCAAAGAGATATTCTTTATAAAAGTTAAGAGTCAGCCACGCCTACCTAAACACATTTCATTACACCAAATACACAAACTAATGTTCTTTTGAGCAACATCATATGACCCCTTTAAAAAAAAAAAATCTTACTGACCACAAACTTTTGAACAGTAGTGTAATTTCACAGTTTTAGTGGTAGTTGGAGAAGCAGCTTTTAGGAACAACACTGCAGACACAAAACACACACAAAATAGATTTTTATCCCTTATTAGGGCAAAATATGGAAGCAACACCCTATTATAATACTACTATTAAAAATGAATAACTTAATGAAAACTATATACTGAACATTTGTGTTATTATTATAATATTGCCACTGTATTACTAAAACAATAAACTTAAGCAAATGCACTACAGCATTTTTATCTAGAACATCCAGAATATGATCATCCCCCAACGCGGGCCTCTTGTGGCTTATTAACCAAAATTGTCAAATATATATATTTCCATATATAATGCATGTTTTTGTAAGTTTGCATTTTTTCACCACAGAGCAATGCAGTACATTATACTACCATGAGAAAAGTTTCTTTTAATGCTACACTGTTACTTATTTTCTTAAACTGTCAAATATCTGACCGTGACTTACCTCATGCTGATGAGGACATCTCCATTGCGGAAAATGAACAGAAGTATGTTTTCCTGTGTCACGTCATGAAAATTAGCACTTTTTTCATTGGCGAAAAACAGATCTGGCTTCCACAGGCACTGGAACATTTTTGGATCAACGGTCAATGCATCGGACTTAAAATCAGCTGGCAACCGCAGCCGTGGGTCATTCCAGCGCTGACGCAGGAATATATTAACACGGTAATCCTGGACATGAAACATACAGTTAGTATTGGTACAATGTACTGTAGTATAAAAAGAGACAAATATACTGTCAATCAATCAGTCGTACAATATTTAAAGGGGTCATATGATGCGATTTCAATTTTTCCTTTCTCTTTGGAGTGTTACAAGCTCTTGGTGCATAAAGAAGATCTGTAAAGTTGCAAAGACTAAAGTCTCAAATCCAAAGAGATATTCTTTATAAAAGTTAAGAGTCAACCACGCCTACCTAAAACGGCTCGTTCTAACACGCCCCCACATACCTACATCACATGTTCTTTTTAGCAACATCATATGACCCCTTTAACAAGATTGTGTGCATAAACGACTAATATGGAATATATGATGCAAAGAAAAGATTTGGTCGGATAGAATATATAAGTAAATAACACACACATACTAACTAATGTTTTTTTTTCTAACCATTGTGGTCTCCTGGATCGACCCAAAGCTGTTGATGAAGATGTTCACCTTATCCTCCACTGGGATCCCTGCAAACACATGATAGCAATATAATCATGCACATCAACCACATGTGTAAAAGATGTGTGCTATTCTCAGATTCCCCAAAGTGCAAAATAAATAGTCACAAATGTGAGAGTATTTTGTGCTCTGTTGGATGTGAGAACTCGGGTCCATGGCAGATGCCCATTGATCTGATAGAGTTTGGTTCTGACATATTCTTATTCCGCTGGGTTCAGAATGACACATTCTAATTCCATAGGGTCTTGTGATCCTCGACGGGGGAGAATTTCCAATTACTCTGTACAATACATACTCTGCCATTCTCTGACACTGTGATTAAATTATCATTCTAATGAGGTCATCCATTATGTTATTGAAATCAAAACAGGGACGATAATAGGTGAGCACCAGCCAATGAGATGAGCGGTAGTTCTTAAAAGCTGAAGAATTCCAAAGCAACTCTGTTATTTTGACAGCAAAATACAACAAAGAATATCGTTTACATGTAGCGCGCATAGGTAGCGCGTCAATTCTCTCTCTCCCTCTCTCGCTGCGTGTGTGTGAAACAAAGCGACGGCGAGTCGTGCGCCTTCACACTAGAGTTTACGGTACGTTAAATACAGGTGCGTTGCACATCCATTCAGATGAACTGAAAAACAGCACAGATCGCTCGGCGGAGAGTGAAACTCTGAAGCGCTCAGTCAGAGAGTTCGGCGAGTGAAAATATATCTGAGCTAAACTTATACTTAGCCTCCAACTCACACACATTGGTTGAAAAAGTCCATTGCCCTCGCATCAAGATTACTTTTTTATTTGAATAAGCAGTATATAGACAGAGGATATTTTAGAAGCAATGGTTTAATTATTCTCAATAGTGAATTTGTTTCTTACAAACACCTTTTCTCTTCACATGACATTAACTGATGGACTGGAGTGGTGTGGATTACTTGTGGATTATTGGGGGGTTTTTTTGTCAGCTGTTTGGACTCTCATTCTGACGGCACCCATTCACTGCAGAGGATCCATTGCTGAGCAAGTGATGCAATGCTACATTTCTCCAAATCTGTTCTGATGAAGAAACAAACATCTTGGATGGCCTGAGGGTGAGCATATTTTCAGCACATTTTAATTTTTGGATGAACTGTTCCTTCAATCATTTAGTTTAAACAAGTTACTGCTTAGATAACCATGTATATTCTAGTTAAATGAAATTCCTCTTTCAAAATAAAATTGAATGAATGAAATACAACTAAAAAAAAAAACAGCTACATTTAAAATGAGGTTGAACCACACATTGTTTGCAGTCAGATGATATTGAGCCAAGAACGATCTTTTGTAAAGGTTGATGGATTTAAAAAAATTTTTTTCCCATAACAGGGCTGATTGAGCTCGTTGAGGCCAAGATATAATACAGCGCTAAAAAAAAAAAATATTTAAAGAAAAAAATCCCATTATTTAACGGAATAATATTAATTATCACCTTATTATAAGTGACGTAAGAAAGATCAATGCATGTTTTCAAAGGCGGAAGCATATCAGGGTTGATTAGAAAGTGAGGAATAAGACAAATTCATATTCTATGCAAACTATGGCTATATGCTGTATTGTGACCAAAGCTTTGTCGAGCTATTGAACTTTTTGACTGTGATTTCCCAGGAAAATAGAAAGAGTTCACTGAACACACATTCACCTGAGGGCAAGTTGTCATAGCTTTTACGGTCTAGGTTGTCACAATGAAACATTCAATTGTCCATTATACAGTGGGTATAGAAAAGAATCACCCCACTTTAAAATAATCACATTTTGTTGCTTTGCAGCCTGAAATGAAGACGGACCATTTTTGTTTTATCCAGCTGTGTTTACTCAGTGCAACTTATAACATCCAAGTGAACACTAACATGTCAGGTACATAACACCAGTACATATCAGGTGTAGCTAATCACCTTCTCAACGGCACACAAAGCCATTTGACTTTCAACTGTGATCAGCTGTGCTCATTTTGATCAGCTCAGCATGAAAAGAGCTTTCCTGGAGTACTTCAGCCCTTGGTAGTGCAACTGAAGCAAACAATCAACTATGGGTGGCAAAGCACTGTCAAAAGATCTCCGGGATAAATATTTGTGGTTAGGCACAAGTCAGGAGATGGATACTACAAAAAAATTCAAAGGCTTTATCAATGGCTAGAAGCACAGTGAAGTCTATTATTAAGAAGTGGAAGGTATTTGGTACAACACAGATCATCCCTGGATCAGGACGTCGCTCCAAACTGAATGAAAGAGCCAGGAGGAAACTGGTCAGAGGTGACCAAGAGCTACAGCAACTCTGAAGCAGAAGAGTGGTCATTGTGTGCATGTGACAACAACATCACAAATTCTCCACAGATGTGGCTTGTATGGGGGGGGTGAAAGAAATAAGCCAC